TTTAGGGTTTTACACAGAATTAAACCAAACAACATGAATCAAACATGCACTTTATTTATTTCCACTAAATAACAAAAGTACATCAAAATGATTGAAGCTAAGGGCATACAAAACTGTCTAACAAAACGGGCCCAATCGCACAGAACAGGCCCAAGTTGCTGCAACCACTGAATTCCCAATACAATATCAGCCCCAGTTAACTCCAATAGGTAAAGATCAACCACAAAGCTCTTGGATGCATAACCCAATGTCTGTGCAAATTACATAGCATTGGAGTGAGGTCCCATTTGCCACATGGACCTTAAATGGGGCTATGGGCTGAACTGGTAATCCCAATCGTTTGACTAGCACAGTGGTTGCAAAGTTTAGAGTGCTACCACTGTCAATGAGGATAGACACTTGGCGACCCCGAACTAGACCCGTCACCCTCATGGTTTGGGGTGGTGAAAACCCCGCTAGGGCCTGTAATGAGATTTCTGGTTGTATGGTCTCAGCCTAGTGTTCGTCAGTCGACAATCTTTCTTCCAGTTGCTGATCCTCTTCTTCATCCTTAGTCTATAATAAGAAGGCTTATTGAGACTTGCATCTATGGTCAGGGCTGAATTTCTCTTCGCAATTGTAGCAGAGACCTTTGTCTAGGCGATTTTGCATTTCTGCCCATGTTAATTTCTTGAATGGAATAGCGGGGCTCGGGCCTAACTTACCTGGTGGTTTGCCTAAGATGTTGCCTTCTTTATTGGGTCTCATCCCTTCCGGTCTGGGTGCTGTAAATGATTTGTTCGTCTGCTTCCACAGGCGGTTCAAACATCGAGCTCGAGCTATCTTTTCTTCTTGGGTGCAGGCTAGGGCTGTCGCAGCCATCACAGTTGACGAATGCATCGCCTTGACCACTAACTGTATTTCTTCCTAGGGTCCTTCCACAAAAGCTCCGACCAGTGCCTTCTTCGGCCACCCTTGGACTCTTAACGATTGACGTTCAAACTTTAATTGGTAGTCACAAACACTTCCTACTTGCTTTATCTTCGCAAGACTCTTGTCAAAATCTTCAAAACCGAAAGCCCCGAATTGGATACAGGGCATCAGTGAAGTTGAGAAATGAAATATGGGGGTGCCCTCGATGATACCACCGATACCAAAGGATTGCATCTCCATCCAGATGCATTGCTGCCAACGCCACCCTGTCTGGTTCGGACGTTTCATTGTACTCAAAGAATCTTTCCGCCCTGTATATCCAAGGGATGGGGTCTCCTCCTGAGAAGACCGAAAAGCTCAGTTTGGTATTTCTTTCCAAGGTGGAGCTGCTTCTTCGATTACTCCCTTGGCAATCCCTATCCTGGTCAATTTCTCTATCTTCAACCGGCGGACTCTGTTCTAGCCTTTGCAAGATCTCCGTTAGTGTATCCTTGATACCTCGCATCTCGCCTGAGACTCGATGAAGCTCGACCTCCACCTGATCAACCCGTGCCTCCATGGCTGTAGCTCAAGTATTTGTCATAGCTCCGATACCAAACTGTTAGGTGCTGCCTAACTCAGGGTTCGTTGAGTTAACCAACTCCTAAAGAGAGAGGGAAAACTGAAAGGGAATAGAGGGAGAGAGAGAGAGAGCAAAAGAGAGAGATGTTCGAATGGAATTCTTCTCGTCTTCATCATTTCTTCCTCTGGTCTTTATAGCCCAGGTAAGTTGTTTACAGTTTACAGTTTGTTGTAGGACTGTTACTTTGTTCTAACAGCCTGCCACTTGGATTAACCTCTTGCTGGCGTGGCTTCTCCCTTTTCTTGTAAACTTGATATGTAGGCTGGCTATTCCCATTGGTTTGCCACAGCTCTTGATCTTAACACAATCTTTGTCAGCTGAACTGAACTGTCTCTTTATATGGAAGCCTAGATCTGCAAACAACATGGCTAATGGCCTAGCTAAGCTCAGGGCTAACAGAAATGATCCAATTTGGGGTTTGGTAAATCAATTGTAAAAGTTTGAATGATACAGTAGTTAGAAGGCTAGCTGAGGCTACCTTTCTTGGGGATTTTATATTGTGCTTTATCTTTTCATTAATATTCTCAATAATAAATTCAGCAGTTACTGATCAAAAAATGAACAAGCTCTAATAATATACACCTTTTTCACTAATGTTACAAGTACATTTAGAGTATTTTAGACACAAAATCATGACAACCATAATAATCCCACAAAGAAAGTTATGATATTGATAACACAATAAAATTTAATAAGAATTTTAACTATGTAAAATGAATAAAGGGCATTGGCAACTTTTATACAGAAGTAGATTGCAAGCTATTCCTTTCAAGCTACTAATAGTTACTCATGGTAGTAACGCTAAAATGAATATCCTTATTTGAAAAAATGATGATTTGCAAAGATAAGAACTAGAAGCGTTCAGCGTAAGGAAAAATGGACTTACTTGCAACTGTTAGATGAGCTACAACTCCTCCCCACTATCAAACAACTTTCCATTCCCATGTCATCAGATATGGGCCTGCAACCACTAAGTGAGGACCTTTGGATCCTATCGATGCTGTTCATGTGAAGCAAGTTTTCAAGACCAAGTAACTCCTCCAAACTAGACATTGTGGAATGAAATGTGAAAAGTGGAACTGGAACAAATGCATGGGATAAGTAAGTGCTCCACCACGAACACTTGCGCAAGGCCTTAGTTGCAAGCATTAGTGTATAAAGGATTGATGCATCTGAGGAAAAGACTAAAGCTCATTCACAAAATGCAGATAACTAATTACAGTGAAAGAAAATATTGTGAATAAATTTTAAGCCAATGCAAAAGCGTGATCCAATCATTGCCAGGCTTTTACAAGGAACTAGCTTTATTGCAAAAATGACAGAACAATATATTGAACTTTGTAGCAAAGAATGCCCAGAAAAAGAAGCATTCTCATATGTCTACACATTTGAGCAGAAAGTGTAATAATTAAGGGATCCAATAAAGAAATTCTTATAGAAATAACATCATTAAATAGGGCTGTCAATGAACAAATTTTGGTCCAATCCGATCTGATCTAATAAGAATATGTTATAAATAATCCAGAAACAATCTGAATCCAATTAAAAGAGAACCAATCCAATTCTTTTTAATGTAAATGGATCATATTTGATCTAATCATATCCAATCTAACTGAAATTAAAAAATAAAAAATAAAAGAAAAATAAAAGCCACTCTTAAGTTAATTTAACTTACTCATAGAAGATTCAGCTTGTTTTAAACGTATGGGACCCACTTTTTTGGTACATTGCATATCCTTATTATATAATGCAGATACTATATAAAAAGTTCCTCTCCCTCTCTCTCTGCTCATTAAAAGTTCTATGTGTCCAATACCCCAAGCCTCTTTGCCTCTCTCTCCTATAGCTGATTCCATGTGTAGTGCACCTCCCCATTATTTTATTACTTTATTTTATTTTTTCTTGTTTATCTATTTTTTCTTTTTTACCTTTTTATTTATTTATTTATTTTAACTTTTAATTAATTTTATTATTATTATTATAAATTGTTTTATTTTTTCATGGTTATATTTTTTTCTCTTTTTTATTTTTATCAATTACTAATGTTTTTGTTATTTTTCTTATTGAATCCTATTGGTATATTTATTTACCAATTAATGATCAGCCTAATCTTTTTCCTCTAAATCTGTCAAACTTGCCAATATCCCCTATTTACCAATTGAGCCATTCGGATTCACAAATTAAACCCATTACATCCAGGTTTTTATAATTATATCTTTTGTTGTTTATATATATATATATAGAGAACTGGACTACTCTTTGTAACCAACACTTTCCCTTTCCCCCCTGCTTTGATCTACAGACCACCCTCTGAACTATTACGTCCTCGTCTATTCCTTCCACTTTTATCACATATTTTATCATTATTATTGCTAATATTATTATTTTTATATAAATTTTATTTATCTACATTTTCTTCCATTATCTACTGCAGCAAAAACCAGATGCAATTTCAAGAAGCCAAGCTAAACGACTATTTCATTCAAATCTGTGTAATTAAAATGAATTAAACATCTCCATCAACACATTCTAATCCTCAAGAAGAAAGAAAACTAAAACAAACAAATAGAGGCAAGCTAGCATTTTTAATCAGACGGGAAGAAGATCAATTGTAGAAAAGAACAGAGGTAATCAAAATCTCGGGAGAGCAAGCATGACAGGGTTAGGTAGGCATCGAGAGAGCTTATAGTAACCAGTTTCACCGGGTTCCGTCAACTCTCTGATTCTCCCTCAAATCCCATTTAATCCATAGCCAAGGATAGGAAAAGAAAACAATGTTTATATAGAAAATAAAAAATTAAAAAAAAAAAAAAACGAAACTAGAAGAGAAAACCAAGTAGTTCAGACTGGACTTACCTAACTGGGTGTCAGCCTGGAATCGATCGCTGCTGCAAAGGAGCTCAGTCCACTTTGATCTAGGAGTGTGGAGATCGTAACCTCCTCCTAACAACAAGGATAACTGACGGATTGCAAACGGGAGCTTGGCGAAAAAAAACACGATCGTCTAAGCGCGTGCTTTATCTTCAGATGATGATGGTTTAGAGAAGGCAATAGGATTGGTGAGGAGAGCAATATTCGCCGTTCGAAGCCAAGAGGAACCCCATCACACAGAATTAAAAATAAGTGCTGGTGCTTATTCGATTTAGCATTTATTTGCATTTGGCATCCACATTTTTGAAGTGCTTATTTTAAAAAATTACTTATTTTATATTAGCATTTCATGATCTTTTTTTTCCAATAAGCAGATAAATAAGTAATTGCGACTATGTTGTCATTCATTTTCTTTCAAATTTGCAAAATATCCGATACAGAGGGAATGAATAAAAGGTACTTTGATAAAAGTGTTTTTATAAAAGTGTTTTTATGAAGTATTTTTATCCATAAAAATACTTTTATGAAAGTACTTTCATAAAAGTGCTTTTATAGAAGTGTTTTCATAAAAGTTCTTTTATAAAAGTGCTTTCATCAAAGTGCTTTTATAAAAATGTTTTCATAAAAGTATTTTCATAAAAGTGCTTTTATAAAAGTACTTTTGTATAAAAGTACTTTCATAGAAGTGCTTTCGTAAAAATACTTTTCTAAAAGTGCTTTCATAAAAGTACTTTCGTAAAAAGTACTTTTACAAAAAGTGCCTTTGTAAAATTGCTTTTATAAAAGGGTATAATTGGTATTTCAAAAAATTACCAGGAACAAGTCTGGGAGAAAAAAATTGATTAAGTGCGTATTGTATGAGCACTTAAAAAATGATGGAAAATTGGGCTTAAAAAATCAGCCCTTATTTTTAAGATAAGCACTTATTTCAGGCTTCTTTCCCAAACACCAATAAGTGCTTAATGGCATGGTCCACAACCAAATAAGCACTTATTTTAAGCACTCCCAAACATGGCCTAAGTGTGCTAAAAAAGGGTCGACATTTTGTCTATTTTATGCTGAAATATCACATGCCTTCCAAATTTGGTTCGACCACATGAAACCTGATTTTTAATCCTTCCAATAGTGGTATTAGAGTACTAAGTTTAGTTATTGGAGTAAACCAAATCAGATTTAAAAGAAATATAAAATCGGCATGAATTAGTCTAGTCGATTTGACCTAGTTGACATATGAAATGTGTAAGTGGGATGATAAGGCAAATAGAGAATGGTCTCCTTAAGAACGAAGATAAAGTTGTTTCCCGGTTAGAGTTACGAGTAGGCTTAATTCTCTGGAGGGAGAAGGTTAGGAGGTTTTCAGCTAGGAAATTTTGAAGCTTCTCATGTCCCCCCACGGCTTGTGTCTTCTACCTTTCATAGAGGAGATCCCGAGGCTATACAAAGAAGAGTCCAAAAGAGGACTTTTCCTATTAGGGAAGGGAATCTGGACTCTCCCGCCAGCCATCAAGTAAAACTCTACATGTGTCCAACAAGACGAGATCCTTTAAGAATAAAGTTTCCTTTTCCCTAAGGATTCTCGCATAGCACGTGTTAGTTACATCCCTTCATAAGTTTTCTTGTGGCCATGTATCGGGGATGAGATCTCTGGTCGGCTAACGTGACCGGGTGTCTTAGTAGTCATCCTCGAGATGCCTTGTTGCAACTTGTTGTGACTATAAGAAGTGTAAGTCGACTGTGAATGGGTATTTAATCACAAGTTTTGGACAACATTTAACATTCATCATAGATGCGTGACACTATCCCATGCTTATCACGAGTTTTGGATGATGGTTTGTGCTCATCGCAGGCTACAGGTGATGTTTTGTGCTCATCGCAAGCCTTGGATGACATTTTATGCTCATCACAAGTCCCAGATGACAATTTATGCTAATAGCAGGCCAAGATGACAATTTATGCTCATCACAGGTGTGTGATCCTTTCATTGCGTCTATAGAATGTTGGCATGTTGTTGCAAAGGTTTATTAGTCGTTTTGATATCTTAAACATTGTCTAACATGTTGCCTAGTTTGTTTGTAGCATTCTTCCCRTCTGGAGTTTCTCCATGTGGTTCTTATCTACAGTCTCTATTACAATTCTCATGATAGTGAATTTCATATACTTACAATTAGCCCCCCTGCTTATGGATAAGAGTAGAGTATTCTTATCAATAAACACTCATTGGGATCTTCTCTGTTCATCTAGTAGCATGTCTTCATAGTTAGAGAATTGAGGGTAAAGGAATTAACTGCTTTATTGCAAGTCGTGGGCTTATGAATGTCACCAAAAGAGAATGATTCAAGTGATTTTGTGTATTGCTGAAATCAAGAGAATAATCGAGATGTTTTATAGACTGTTCAGGTCATGTATAGAGTGTTGAAGGTGTTGGTGGGGGTAAAGTCATGGTGGCATTTTGTTATTCATATGGTGTGATTTGGTGTCCCTATAAATTAGCTCCCTTGTTTCTTGATAGAAGGTCTTGTGCCAAGAAACATTTAAGTCATGGAAATATCGTTAAGTTTACAACCCCCTTGTGTCTTGATAGAAGGCATTCTGTCAAGAAACATTCGAAGAGGGAATGTCGAGTTAAGTTTTCAGCCTCCCTATATATTCTACTAGGGTTGAGCTTAGTGTATTTTGTCGAAAGGTGTGTTTATAAAGTTAGAGGCATATCAATACGTGCCTAAAGTTGTTGTAATGCCCAAATGATTGTGCAGCACGGATGGCAGCTTTAATTAATTTGTTTAAAGATCACCCCACCTTTTTAGGGATATTCTTATAAATTTTATTTTGAACTGAAGTTGCTAATTGGCTCATGTGGAGGAGTACATGAGCAATCATTTCAACTATCGCATGATGTTGCCTATTTTCTTGGCACGTGCGACATAATGTTTTAAGAGAGGTGGTGTCTTTCCTCCTCAATTCGCACTTCTGTGTTTCTTATTCTACCTATTCTCTCAGTTCACTATCTTTGTGCTTCCTTTCTTTTGTTCGTCATCTCCTTAGGGTTTCCTTTCTCAAGTAAAATGGTGCCCCATAAGCAGAAGAAATATGTTTGGGAGGTTTGTCCCTTCATTGATTATGTCTGAGAGGTGGACACTACAGAGCCACTCAAACAATACGAAGCAACTAAAACATCCTTAGAAAGGGTTTCTAGCCTCCTGTGCCGGTTTCCTTAGGGAAAGATGACACATAACAACATCATGGAGGGTAATGAGCTTCTATGTTTGTACTGGCAGCAAAAGCAAAGTATCACTTATAGGTGCTTAGAGCCAAAGATAGAGATTACTAAATTGTCAACCAGTTTGACTTTGTGGGTGAGATATGTGATGGAGAACCCTATGTATTGTAGGCTCCTTCACAGCGATGGTCTTCTCAAGTTGGTCGACTGCTCCATGCATCTACTCGGGCATGACAGTGTGGATTTCATAGAGCCACTTTTGGCCCACTAGTGTTGTCGAACACACACCTTTCCTGGCACCTTCGGTGAGTTTGGGATAATGGTGGAGGATGTTGCTGCCCTATTGGCACCGCCCCTGGTTGGGCTGTTTCAACTGATAATCTACAGTATATTGAGTCCATTCCATGTGAGTTCTCCAGCATCTACGAGGAGCTGGTAGAAGAGATACAACAATTTAAGGCTAGGGTAGATGTGACTAGTGCCTGTGGTAAAATTCCAATTGATACATGGATCAAGCCATTGAGATTTATGCTAGGAGGGTGGACAACCAATGTCATTGGCCACCTTCATTCTATATGTTGCATCACGATTTCTGTTTTAGGCAGCCCTGACTACGGGCATTGGTGCCTCTTGTCATTCTTGCAGCTAGCAGGTGCCAACTTGCCCTAGCTTCTATGTTCCTAGGCTATCTATATGAGCGAATAGAATAGTTTGAGGCTAGGGTAGATGTGACTAGTGCCTGTGGTGAAATTCCAATTGATACATGGATCAGGCCATTGAGATTTATGCTAGGAGGGCAGACAACCAATGTCATTTGGCCACCTTCATTCTATATGTTGCATCGTGGTTTCTATTTTAGGCAGCCCTGACTACAGGCATTGGTGCCTCTTGTCATTCTTGCAGCTAGCGGGTGCCAACTTGCCCTGGCTTCTATGTTCGTAGGCTATCTATATGAGCGAATAGATGACACCATTCACCAAGTGATGGACCCCAGTTATACGAGGAGGGTGTCCTATGTATTCTCCATATTCCTTATTATGTTCATATACGAGAGGTTTGAATTGGATGTTACCCCACGAGACTTGTCCCCCCTAGAGGTTCACATGGCAAACTTGGAAGGGACAGATTCAGAGAATGTCACACTAGACGTCTCTTATAGCAAGCATTGGCTAAATGCCAGGAGAGGGAAGAACTTCAATGTTTTTTTATCAGTAGGAACTTCGATGTTGATGGGTTGGAAGCTCAATTTGCAAATGTTGACAACTTCATTCATAGTCCTTATGCGGAGCACGTGACTCACACCATGCCATTCTGCATTAGGATGAATGTTCATGAGAGAGGTGACCAGCAATACGTAGTTGGCACCAATAACCTGGAGGTGGGTGTCGACTGTCTTGTTTTATGGCCTGGGGTAATCAACAATGTGGACAAGGCAAGGGAAGCGCAATCATGCACATACCAGCTTGACTGCCGCTTGCATTAATTCAGTTATGAAAGTATGGGATCGTAGTTTCTTTGATCTTATGGTGAAGATGTATTTTGTCAAAGGCACAACGGTCTCGCCTTTGCCAACATCACATGCTTCCCCCTGGCTGGGTTTAAGTGTGCGGAGGTATGTAGTTCATTGCATCATGTCCATTTATGTTCTTTGTTTGGGGGATTCCTATTGTTCTTAGTAATGGAGTTGTAGTCGAGGAATGTGATGGCTCCTCCGCTAGGGCATGTGGTAGAACAGGTAGATGAATGGCTCCATACTACCCATAGCCACCACACCACTTTAGTGACGAAGTTTAACACGTAACGGTCCAAGAAGGCCAATAGACACTACAAACAAAGGAAAGCGGCCCATGAGTGAGGTAGGCTGTGAGAGATGGAAAACGACTCGCTTGGGCTTAATAGGAGTCACCACCCATTCATTAGTTATGGAAATGGAGGTGATGGGACCTCTGAGATATTTATCGGAAAGCACATTGGCTTAATAAACCAGTCTAGGTAAGACTCAGATGGGAGAGGGAAGGGGTTAGGCACCTCTCTCCTAGGTTCAATAGGT